CTCAGCAGGACCCTGGTACTCCAATCTCTTGCTCCTGTCCATCCTTCTGTCACCCTACCCCACCCCTCCTAGATCAGCTTTCCTAATTGCACATGCCAAGGCCTTCTTTATTCTTTACCTGTGCCATTTGTTAGATACCCGATTCTAAAAAGCAAGCAAACATACACTAGAGGATCATACAACCTTAAAAAGAGAGGTATGCTACACAGGCTGAAAAGTGGATAGATGCCTGAGGATATTATGCTAGAGTAAGAAAGCCATCACCCAAGGATCAATACTGTACAACTCCATTAATATACAGTACCAAGTCTGCACAAAAACTGAACTTGAATGGGGAAAGGGGGAAAGGCACAGGGGGCAGCTATTTAACAGATGCAGGGTCCAGTTTAGAAGATGAGTTCTAGAGATGGAAGGTGGTGACAGTGGTGTGACATCAGAAAACCACAAAACACAACTAAAGTAGCTGGAAGTGTGGCTGGGTGGTGGAGCACCTGCTTAGCACATTCAAGGCCTGGGAGAGAGGGAGAGAAGGGGAAGATGAGGGGAAGAAGGAGGGAAGAGGAAGACAGAAGATATGGGCAGGGCAGTGGGAAGACAGAACAGAGGAAGGAAAGGCCTAAATAGTAAATTTTGTCGTGGATGTTTTACAATAAAATTTTCTTAAGGCAAAAAAAGAAATATAACCCCTAACTTGAAAGAAAAACTATTTTCATATACTAGGATTTGAACACAGAGCTTGCTAAAAGCACATGCTCTACTACTTAAGCCACACTTACAGTCTTTTTTACTTTAGTTACTTTTCAGATAAGTTCTAACATTTATTCCTAGGCCCGCTGGATTTCCCATGTAGCTGGGGTGACAGGTGCATACCACTGTTACCTAGTTTTTGTTGGTTGAGATGACCTCTTTTGAACTTTTTCCTTCGGTCTGGTTTTCAAACCATAGTCTTCTCAATGTCTGCTTCCTAAGAGGCTGGGGTTACAGGCATAAGCCACAGAGCCCAGCCTTTTTAAAAATTACTTATTTTTTATGAGATTTTGGGGGGGGGGGAACTAGTGCTTGAATTCAGGCTTGTGAGTTCTGACTACTCAATGATTACAAACAGGACCACAAATTGCTCTGGGATATTCCTACCCTGGCTTATCAGAAAAAGATCTAAAAACTTTCATTTATAATTAGAGAGGGTCCTCAACTTGGGAACTTTGTCCCAGTGAACTCATAAATTAAAACTATTTCCAGTTGCAGGTAACTCACATCTGTAATACTCGATACTCTGGAGGCTTAGATCTAAGGATCATGATTTGAAGACAGCATGAGGCAGGAAAGTCCATAAGACTCATCTCCAGTTAAGTACCAAAAAAGCCAGATAGAGCTGTGGCTCAAGTGGTAGTAGAGTGCTAACCTTGAGCAAAAAAGGTCATGGCTTTGAATCATAATCCTCAGATCTCAGTCTCCTGAGTGGCTAGGATTACAGGCATGAGCCACTGGCACTCTGTTGAAATATTTTAAAGTATAGAAAAATCAGAACCAGCCAGGTGCTGGTGGTTCACACCTGTCTGTTATCCTAACTACTCATAAAGCTGAGATCCAATGGATCATGGTTCAAAGCCAGCCTAGGGAGAAAAGTTTTCAAGACTCAATCTCCAATTACCCAGCAAAAAACTGGACTGCAAGAGGTTTTTTTCTTTGTTGTTATTTTTGTTTTGTCTTGTTTACTCATTTGTCTTGGAGGTTAAAAGGGGGCACAGAAATGGAGGACAAAGGGTGAACAAATGCAGCAGTGGGACCCACTAGATATTATGTTGAAAATGAACTATACAACTGTGTAGCAAGGGGAGGGGTGACATTTTCCAAAAAGTAATGTCCTCATTATCTTACTTACATAGTTGTAGCACCTCTGTACATTGCCTTTATAATAACAATACAAAAGGAAACCCTTTAAAAAAAAGCTGGGCTGGAATGTCTCAAGTGGTAGAGCACCAGTCATAAGCATGAAAGTGAAATGAATGCAAAGCTCACAGCACTATCCCCAAAAAGGAAGAAAGAAAATGACACTCCAGCAAGAAAGGAAATTCTCACAAATATATCCTGCTCTCAAGCAGTAAAGAACACAAATTCAATACAAGAACTCACAGGTGAGATGATCAAGTAAGAGAACGAAAAGGGAACATACAGACTCAAGTACTGACCTGAGTATCAAAACCACATGGTGATAAAACTAGCAAATAAATTAAAAGCAGCAAAGAACAGAATGTACTGCTGAAAACTGACTTACTAACTCAAGAGTCATGAACACAATGGAGAGTAGAAACAGAGAAACAGAGAATAAAAAATAATCATCTGATGGTGATACATGTAATCCTAGCTACTCAAGAGGCTGAGATCTAAGGATCACAGTTCAAAGCCAGCCATGCCAAGAAAGACCCAGAGACTCCAATTAACCAACAAAATGTCAGACTAGAGGCATGTCTCAAGTGGAATAGCACTGACTATTATATATGTGTGTGTATGTGTGTGTATAAATGTATATATATATGTGCATATATATACATATATATATGTATACACATATACACAACACATATATGCCAATTGAGGGTGGAGATGCAAAGTACTGAGTTCAAGCCCTACTACCCATTTAAAAAAAGAGAATTAGCAACAATAACTATCCAACATAAAATGTCTTGAAAGTCAAGCATCCAATAAATAAGAAATAATATAAATTTAAAATATAATTCTATGCAGAAGAAAATTCTATGCATAAAGAAAATGTCCTGTGATGATTAAAGAAAAGAACACAAAACACACAGATTCCATAGTACAGAAAATGTCATTTTCATCTCTGAGAAAATACTGTTCTCAGCAGCATCAGATTCTAGTTAAGTTACTAAACTTCAATGGTAAAGTCAAGGACAAACTGCATTATCACTTCCAACTAGCAAGGAGGGAAATCAGAGTAGCTTGAGATGTCTTATGTTTCCATATCAAATATTACAGACAGTCAAAGTCTATTATACCCAACCAAGATAACCCAAAAATCCAGCCAGTTAAAGAGCTTGAACTAAAAGAAAAAACTCTAGATTAGGAAAGCATACCTGAGTAGGAACATGAAATCAATATGAAGAACTGAACCAAACAAATCTCAGAAAATACAGTTATGGGTCAGAATGGGAATTACAATGTAAAATTAAGAGCTTTTTCAATCGAGACACTGGGGAGGAAAAAAGGAAGACTAAGACACTGACAACCTTGCCCTGTACATCAGAACTGAAACACTACTTTTCAAAAGCCAAATTCTAACCTTGAAATCCCTTCAAAAATCTCCTCGCAGGAGTTGGGGAGGGAAAGAATGGTAGGGGAAAAACAAAAGAAGGGGTAACAATGCTTGATGGGAAATGTACTCATTACCTTACTCATGTAACTGTAACCCTTCTGTACAATATCTTTACAATAAACATATATATATATATATATTTTTTTTTTTTTAAATCTCCTCTCAGCCAGGTGCTGGTGGCTCACTCCTGTAATCCTAGCTATTCAAGAGGCTGAGATCTGAGGGTCACAGTTCAAAGCCAGCCCAGGAAGGAAAGTCCCCGTGAGACTCATAACTCCAATAAATCACCAGAAAACTAGAAGTGGTGCTGTGGCTCAAGTGGTAGAGTGCTAGCCTTGAGCTGAAGAGCTCAGGCCCAGAGTTCAAGCCCTTGACCAACCAACAGAGGAAAAAAAAAAATCTCCGTAACCTGTAGCCAAACATTCTGAATTGAGAAAAATAATATCATGTTAAATAAATTTTATCTAACACCTTTTAGAAGTTACTTTAACATAACACCTCATAAAATAGCATTGCAGACAAATCCCCTTTTTTTTCCGGGGGAGGGGGGAGGGGTCAGTTATGGGGCTTGAACTTTGGGCCTGGGTGCTGTCCCTGAGATCTTCAGCTCAAGGCTAGCACTCTACACCACTTGAGCCACAGCGCCACTTCCAGTTTTCTGGTGGTTAATTGGAGAATCTCATGGACTTTCTTGTCCGGGCTGGCTTTGAACCTCAGATCTCAGCCTCCTGAGTAGCTAGGATTACAAATCCCTTTTTTTTAATTTGTCAATTGTGGGGCTTGAACTCGGCCTGGGCACTGTCCCTCAGTTCTTCAGCTAAAGGCTAGTGCCTTACCACTTGAGTCCCAGCGCCACTTCCGGTTTTCTGTTGTAGAGATAAGAGTCTCACAGACTTTCCTGTCCTAGCTGGCTTTGGCTTTGAACCCCGATCCCCAGATCTCAGCCTCCCAGCCTCCTGAGTAGCTAGGATTACAGGCATAAGCCACCAGTGCCCAGCCACAAATCCCATTTTTATACAAGTATTTCCATCGACCTCTGAAATGCTCTTGCATTTGTCTGACCTGGAAAGCTGTCTAGGAGGGTGTTCACCCATGAACTACTTTGAGTGGCTAGGGTTTGAGGCAACATATTTTCTTTATACTTGTTTTGTTTTTGTTGAGGTTTTTGCTTTGTTTTAGTATTATTTGTAAGTATTAGTACCAAAGGGCTTTAATTTACAATGTCAGTTTATGAGTACAATGCAGCTTGATCAATGTCATATCTTCCATCAGTCTCCCCATCTTCCCCATCCCACCCATTGGTCACAAACAAAATTGCAAGGGATGACTCAATCCATGTCAACAATGTGTGAACATCCCAAAACACACTACACAAAAGCCTGGCATGCCCAAGTTCATTGCCCCCAAGTGCTTTTGATGGTTAAATAAGAGGCAAAGGAAGAGGTGAAAGTGAATAGGGGAGAGGGGAGTAGTGAGGGAATAGGAGGAGGAGGAACAGGAGGAAGAGTAGGAGGAGGAAGAAGATCTAACAAGGTTACCTTTAAGTGCTACTGACATGCAGGAACTCAGCATGCTTACAACACCTTAAGGTTTGGAACACTCCAAGTGAAACAAGACTCACCAGTGGCCAGGGCCCAGTACACATCTGATCCATTCAGTAACTCACCACATGCTATGGGAGAATAAACCTGGGACCCGGGAACTTGAAGCAGAATTCGAAACGGAGCAATCCGAGCATTGGAATCCAGCACTGCATCCAGAGCACCTACCAGGCGACCTTCAAGGGAAATAGAAGAAAGTGAGTCAGAGGTAGACCAGGCAGGGCAGGCCAAACGCAGTGCAGCTGTCTGCTAGGGAGGTTAGGGGAGGCCTCAGTCCAGCTAAACTTTAACTCACCACAGAAGCTCCTAAGCTCCATGAGGCCAGAGGCTTTGGCTGCCTTGTATGAACCTGTTGCCCAGCACTCAGAATCAGTTCACACCATCAGTGAGTAAGTATAACAAGGGCCCTGGACCAGTCACCTAATCCACGCAAGGTCAGAGGGAAGAGCAGCAGCTTTGGTCCCACTGCCTGATTTGGATCCTTGCTCCATCACTTCCAACCTGCGGGAGCTAATTAGACAAGCTACCTCTGTGTGCCCAGATTTCTTCATTTGCAAAATAAAATAATCACAGTATACAACATAGTATGGTACCTATCAGAACTGAGTTAGCATATCCATTATTTGATAAAGCTTCAGCCTAGGGGCTGGGAAGGTGGCTCAGTGGTAGAGCACTTGCCTTGCATGCAGGAGGCCCTAGGTTTGATTCCTCAGCACCACATAAGCAAAAAGAAAAAAGCCAGAAATGGCGCTGTGGCTCAAGTGGTAGAGCGCTAGCCTTGAGCTGAAGAGCTGAGGGACAGCACCCAGGCCCAGAGTTCAGGCCCCATGACCGGACCCAAAAAAAAAAAAAAAAGAAAAAAAGAAAAGCTTAAGCCTAAACATAAAAAATATTGAGTAGCTAGACACTGATGGCTCATACCTATAATCCTAGCTACTTATGAGACTGAGATCTGAGGACCGTGGTTCAAAGCAGAAAAGTCCATGAGATTTTATCTCCAATTAGCCAGTAAATTCCAGAAGTGGAGCTGTGACTCGGTGGGTATAGTGCCACTTGAGTGAAAAAGCAGAGGGAGAGCATGAGGCCCCGAGTTCAAGCCACACTACCGGTATACACACACTAAAATCTAACAACAGTTGAATCATTCAGAAGTAAGTTACTTTAGTATAGCTTACTAGGTATTGCAGAGTATGTTTCATCTTTGTGGTTATATAGGAATACAGAACCACAGAACAACCATCAAATGTGGATACATCGTCTATCCTCAGATCCCATTCACCAAGTGTTCAATACAGATGCTCCTGGACTTACAAAGGAGGCTTCACCCTAATAAACCCATCACAAGTTGAAAACATTAAGTTGAAGATATAAATACCCCAGCTTAGCAACACAGCACTCTGTATAGCATCAGTCATTTCCCCTCATGGCCACTGGCTGTCTCTGCCCCACATCACCAGAGGGTCCCACTGCACATCTGGGAAAAGACCTAAGTCCAACATTCAAGGTAGCCTCTGAACACAGACAGTTTTTGCATTATTACAGACAAAAGTTAATCCAACCTTCAGAAGCCAAAAACCACTTGTGCTGTGCTTTCTCTACCATGCTTCCAGTGCAGAATTGTACCCTGTACCCTCTCTTGGTTCTATAGTGTTGGAGACATCATGACCTTTGACTCAAAGGCCTTGGCACTTTTTTTTTTCCAGTGCTAGTACTGAAAGCTTGAATTTGGGGTTTAAGTGCTGTCCTTTAGCTTTTTCAATCAAGGCCATAGCTACACTTCCAGCTTTGGGGTAGTTTATTGGACATAAGCATCTCATGGACTTTACTGCTTGGGCTGGCTTCAAACCACAATCCTCAGATCTCAGCCTTCTAAGTAGCTAGGATTACAGGCATGAGCCACCAGTACCCAGCTTATGACCTTGACACTGTTGAAGATCACCAGGCGGTTCTTTTGAAGCACATCCCACAGTACTGACATCTCATCACATTATAGTCCAGGTTGTCTATCTCTAGCAAGAATCACTGGAGCAATACATCAGAGCAGGTAGCAGATAATTTTTATTTCTTTCATTCCTGATAGTGTACATTTGACCATTGAGACCACTGCTCTGTCATTACTCCTTTTTCAGTGTGGGATTCATAAGTATTTGGTAGAATAACTAGGCAAATCTCACATACCTCAAATATTCAACTTAAGCCTTCTATATCCTTCTTTTACTCACTGGTTACCTACATCATCTCTCTGACAGATACCCTCCTTTAAATTCTCTGACAGATACCAGGCTTTAAATTCTCACATACATGCCCCCTAAAATCTCTTTGATCTGCCTCACTTACAAGAAGAAACAAAGAGGCATGGCTTTTATAGCAACTCTTCTTGTGACCACCTGGCATTCTTGCCTTTTCCTGACTTGCAAAAGACTAAGTCTTCCAAAAGACTAAGAGAGCAGGAAAACTGTCTGTGGATAAAGGGGCTGGTACTGAATATAGAAGCTGAGTATCAGTGACTCTGAACACCAGAAGGGGCTGGGGATTACAGTTCTATATGCAAAGGATAGATGAAACACAGCCTGTTTGTCTAGCAAAGATGGGGGCAGGGGCGCACTAATAGAGAAGCTGATGGAAGACTAGAAAGGACCTAAAGCCCTCCCACCCTGCCCCATCCCACAAGCATGGATGCATCCATGGGAACCCGTGGCCTTTTCAACACAGAGATCTGCTGAAGAATCCAAACCTAATCCAAACTTAGATTTTTCTTTTTAAGGTTTGGAGTTGTTTTCTTGTGCTTGGGATCAAACCAGAGCCTTTTACATGCTACACGAGCACTTTACCACTGAGCTACATCCAAACCCCCACACGTGATTAGGTGAGGAGAAAGCCCTGGAAGATCCTTGACGTCATGGAGACAAGGAAGCAAGGAGGGTATGCAGCAACCCACCAGAGTGGGAATTTCCACTGGAAAGAGTGGTGATTTCTCTCACAGGCCCAGGAGATTTTGAACTTGGCAGGATGTCTTATGTTAACCCAGTCCCTTCAACAGGTAGGGCAGTGGAGAAGGGCAAAAACCACCAAAATGCCACACGGGGAATTCCAGACTCCACTCCAGCATGCAAACTGCTTAGAAAACCTACTTCCCAACCATACACCACGACTGAGAAGCAGGGACTTTTCCTGAACTCATGAGAGAACTGAAATCACAGGTCAAACCATAAGTCCACAATATAGAGATCATGGAGAACTGAGAGAGTCACAGTTGAGGTTGGCATGCCAGATGTAGAACCGATAGAAGCACATGAATGGTGACTCTGACAGACTTTGGGGACCAAATGCAGCCTTAAGGGGCCTCAGACCCGCATGGGTTTTAACACCAAACCACACCAGACTGGGAGAGGTAAGACTAATCTTTGTGTGAGAACTGCTGGGCATTCTCCAAAACGAAGTCCTACAATACTGTTCAAGGGAGAGATTGCCACTGTTTCATCCCAGCTGAAAAAGGGCATTCTTGGACTCCTGAGCTCATTCTCTGCCTCTTCTGGTTTTCCTGTCTCCAGAAGGAGGAGAATAGCTAGGAACTGCTTGGGAAGGTCACAGGTGCAGGGACACACAAGCTCACTGACAACTGAGATTTGCTGATATGATTATAGAACCCTTCTCCCCCTCCACCCCTGACTGCCTCCCCCAAATACAACACATAATGACTCAACTATCTGAAACATTTTGTGTGTGCCAAGTACTGGCGCTTGAACTCAGGGCCTGATGCTGTTGCTTAGCTTTTTTGATCAAGGCTGGTGCTCAATCACTTGAGCCAAAGCTCCATTTCTGGCTTTTTGGTGGTTAACCAGAGTAAAAGTCTCACATACTTTTCTGAGTCTGCGTGACTAGGATTACAGGAGTGATCCACCAGTGTCCAGCATCTGAGATGTTCATTAAGGAACCTCCAGACCAAACAGGAAATCCAAACAAGGACCTCTGAGGAATCTGAAACCTTCAACACCAACAACAGAGCCGAAGTTCTAGCTAGAACAGTAAAACTCTCAGCAAAGGGCTTCTTCCTGGGCTAGGAATGTGGCTTACTGGTAGAGTCCTTGCCTAGCATGCATGAAGCTCTGAGTTTAATTCCTCAGTACCATGTCAATAGAAAAAGCTGGAAGTGGTGCTGTGGCTCAAGTGTCATGAACTCAAAGTAAAAGAAAGCTGAGTTGCTATATCATTTTGAGATTAAGTGAACTTTATAACAAGAATAAAGAGGGGTACTACATCTCCACCACTAAGCAGCACAGGACTGTGTATACACATAACTTACGAGTTCTGTCTCAGGACAATTACACAGGCATGGTGGTGCGTACTTGTAATCCTAGCTACTTGGGAGGTGGAGATCAGTAGGACTGTGGTTCAAAGCAACATGGACAAAAAGTTATTGAGATACTGTTGAGGACAGTTGACACATGCCTATAATCCTACTTAGGAGGCTGAGATCCAAAAGATCAAGGTTCAAAGCCTACGCAGAAAAGTCCCAGAATCTCTATCTCCAAAATCACCAACAAAATGATGGGCTAGAGATGGAGCTCAAGTGAAGTAAGTACAAGGCCCTGAGTTCAAATCCTAGTACCACCAAAATAAAAGAAGAGAAGAGAGGGGAGAATCAATGACAAGGAAAATCTGAGAATCCAGCATGGCTAATGTAACAATAAAATGTCATGTCATCCTGAAGATGACCCAGCTGAAAACTCCTGATTGCATTTTTCAGCCTCTGTGACCACCTCCTTCACTAGACTCATGGCCACTTGCTCCATCCTTAAAGCATCAAGCTAAGTGGTTCTCTAATATATTTCTCTCTTTTTGTCTCTCTGTCTCTGTCTCTGTCCCCTGTCTCCCCCTTACCGCCCTCTTTCCCTCTCTTTGGATTCCTTCTTGTAGTTGTACTAACCCTTGTTGACCACACTGGGCCATCAGTAAAGTCCAGGATAATTCTCTATTTTGCCAGTTGATTTAGCGTGCCATATAACCTAACACACTCACAGGTTGGAGCCATTACTCAGCCTACTACAACAATCTACCAATGCCAGTTCATTAATTGTAACAAATTCAGCACAGTAACAGTAGATATGAATAATATGAGAAATTCAGTGTGTCAAGAACCCTTTACTGTATCACAGGTTTTTCATTTTTGTTTTGT